CCCCCATATACACCCCTCCATCCATCCATCCATCTCTCCCCATTCTCACCCCTCCATCACACCCCTCTGTCCATCCACCCCCATACACACCCCTCCTCCAGTCCTTCCGTCCATCCCTCCCCATACACACCCCTCCCTCCGTCCTTCCGTCCCTCCATCCATCTGCCCCCATACACACCCCTCCGCCTGTCCTTCCACCCCCATCACACTCCTGCATCCATCCGTCCCCGTACACACCCCTCTGTCTGTCCCTCCATCCATCCGTCCCCATTCTCACCCCTCCCTCTGTCCTTCGATCCCCATTCACACCCCTCCTATCTATCTATCTATCTATCTATCTATCTATCTATCCCTGCTCTCTCCTCACCTGCTTTCTCCTCCTCCGCGTGCCGGCTCTCCCCGCGCTCCCCGCTCTCTGTCACCCCCTGATGACGCCCTGTCTCTCCCTCCCCGCTCGCAGCAGCCACCCCCTGCATCAAGGCCATCAGCCCCAGCGAAGGATGGACGACGGGCGGCGCCACCGTCATCGTCATCGGCGACAACTTCTTTGACGGGCTGCAGGTCGTCTTCGGCACCATGCTGGTGTGGAGCGAGGTGGGTGAGCGCGGGGCCCCCTTCCCCCGGTGCCTCTCCGCCCCCCACGCCTCTGTCCAGCCTGAGGCCTCCCACCACCGCGCCAGGCAGGGCCCCTTTGGGCTGGGCCAGGGGTAGCTGTGGGTCAAGGCCAAGGGGCCCAGCCTTGTGTTGTGCAGCACCCTGAGGTGCGGAGCCAGGCTCCCTTCAGAGCTCCGGCCCCACCTGATCCCTCCCGCCCATCTCCCAGCGCCAGGCCACTCCTGGCCCAGGGCTCAGCCCCTGCCCCGGAAGGAGCCCCGGCCCAGCCTGGCCTGGGGAGCTGGGCGAGGGCAGAGGGCCTGGGGATGGGCTCCCCACGAGGGGGGGCTGTGATGGAGCCTCCTCGTGCCCCTGGCTGGCCAGCGACGGGTCCTTGCACTGGCTAGTCTGTGAGCTTGAGAGGCCGGGGGAGCCAGCTGGGCTCAGCCCTGGGGGCGCGGGGGGAGGAGAGTGAATCTGCACCTGAATCGGGGCCTTAATCACCCCCCCATTGCCCCCCGGTCATCATCTGCCCCCCCCCCCCACTGCCCATGGGCTCAGCCCCTCTCTCTCCTGCCCCTTGCAGCTAATCACCCCTCACGCCATCCGGGTGCAGACGCCGCCCCGCCACATCCCCGGCGTGGTGGAGGTGACGCTCTCCTACAAGTCGAAGCAGTTCTGCAAGGGAGCGCCCGGCCGATTCGTCTACACAGGTGAGGGGCGCGGCCGGACCGGGCAGGGCACTCCCAGCCACGCTCACCTGCTCCGCCACTGCTCGGCCACGGTGGCGGGAGGGACGAGTGACGTGCCCAGGGCCAGAGAGCAAGTGGGTGGCAGAGGTGGGAGTGGAACCTGCTGGTGTAACTGCTAGGCAGCACTGCCTCTCTCCGCCCCGGGGGATTCTGGGTGTCTGGGTGGCCAGGGACTGGTGGGTGATCGGTCGCCCCCCAGGCCTCGAGCCCATTGAATGGCCAGAAAATCATCCTTGGTGGCCATTGTCTCGTTGGCCTGCTCTTGGGATGCCATTTCCTCCTCCCCCATGGTGGGAGGCCTGTGGGGGCAGCCCTGGGCTGGCGTGCTGTGTCCTGCCCAGACTGCTCCCTGCCAATGGCGCACTGACCGGGCCCCTGCTCTGACGGGTGCCCCCAGCCTGGGCACGGAGGGGCGGGACAGCAAGGACCTGCCTCCCCTGAGCCCGTGGGAATGCAGGAGTGGGAGGGGGGCCTCCGTCCGGGCCCTGGTGAGCTCTGAATCACCCCCCATCCCAGGCTAGGCCCAGAGGGGCTTGGGGGGGGACAGTGAGGGGGCAGATGGCTAGATGGTTGTGTGTATGGGGCGAGGCGGAGGGGTAAATGGAGGTAGGTAGG